ACAAAGCTTGTTTTCTGTGATTGTTCATCTTGGCTAATACATCACAAATTTATATGGTAGCAGAAATCACGTGGAAAAGGTTAAGATCGGGGCTACACTTTAGAGAAGTCAAAGGAAGGGGGTTGGGTGAGGGGTAGGTCAATGAGTCATAACGTCAATGTCAGACAGACTTGTGGGAGAAAACGTCTCGATTTTAATAGGAACCAATGTTCCAGAGGCCCACTGGGTTATGGAGCAACGTCGGGGTTCTCCGAAACATCCTTACGCATATATCAAGGCCTTGGGATGGGCAATTTTGGACCAGCTCCTCCTGCAGGACCCAAACGAATATCACAGTGACTGTGCGAGAAGACAGTAGCCAGGGACGAACGCATTAATACGGCCATGGAAAATTTGTGGGACTATGGGCAGCGAGACATACAATGAGTTAATGCGTTGTAAATCCCTCGATGCCTCCTGCCTACTGGATTTGATGTACGCCACGAAGAGCTGCATATCTTCTCCGACGCCGCAGAAGTTGGATACGGATTCGTTGTTCATTTACGTTGTATACGCAGTTCCGGGCTGGTATGCTGTAATTTTCTGATTGGCAAATCCCTTGTTGCCCCTATGAAGCGTGTTGCAATACTACGACTGGAGTTACAAGCTGTTGTCTTGTCCGTAAGGTTGAAGAGCCTCATCCAGGGGGAACTGAGTTTGAAAATAGACAGCCTATACTTGTGGACCGACTCTATGGTCGTACTTCATTACATCAATAACAGAACGCTGATAAGCTGGGATTCATTCATGAAAATACCAAACCATTGCAGTGGAGGTATGTGCCGACGTAAGACATTCCAGTAGGTCACGCATCAGGAGGAGCCTCTGGTAGCCGCGAGGTAGACACTTCCCATCGCCAAGGCTTCCGTTCCGGATGATTTGCTGCTGAACGAATGGACGCACCTAGCGGTTGTTCGACCCACACGAATTCCTGGAGAAAATGAGAACGAAGAAGGTAGCGAACAAAGCTTGTTTTCTGTGATTGTTCATCTTGGCTAATACATCACAAATTTATATGGTAGCAGAAATCACGTGGAAAAGGTTAAGATCGGGGCTACACTTTAGAGAAGTCAAAGGAAGGGGGTTGGGTGAGGGGTAGGTCAATGAGTCATAACGTCAATGTCAGACAGACTTGTGGGAGAAAACGTCTCGATTTTAATAGGAACCAATGTTCCAGAGGCCCACTGGGTTATGGAGCAACGTCGGGGTTCTCCGAAACATCCTTACGCATATATCAAGGCCTTGGGATGGGCAATTTTGGACCAGCTCCTCCTGCAGGACCCAAACGAATATCACAGTGACTGTGCGAGAAGACAGTAGCCAGGGACGAACGCATTAATACGGCCATGGAAAATTTGTGGGACTATGGGCAGCGAGACATACAATGAGTTAATGCGTTGTAAATCCCTCGATGCCTCCTGCCTACTGGATTTGATGTACGCCACGAAGAGCTGCATATCTTCTCCGACGCCGCAGAAGTTGGATACGGATTAGTTGTTCATTTACGTTGTATACGCAGTTCCGGGCTGGTATGCTG